GAGTGGCTCAGCTGTTGTCACAGCTCTTTGGTGGAGCTCAGAGTCTCTGTGGGCACAAGCTCACCCTGACAGCCCAGGGCCACGCTCAGCTGCCAGCACACCCCCACATCCCAGAGGTGTCACCCCCCAGTCACAGCCCCCTGTGCCACCACAGCCAGCTCTGCCYGCAGGGACAGCCCCARTGGAGGGTGAGCAGGATAATCCTCCCAAACTGTCTCAACCCCTCTCCTCTTCCACCCTGTGCCCATCCCATGGGGCTCCCACCACGCTCCACTCTGCAGAACTGCCCTGGCTGGAGCCATCCCACCCACCTCCAGGATGGGAAATTGCCAATTTGTGACAAGAAACAGAATCCCGGGGATCCTCCCCAGGACCATGTGCTGATGGAGGCAGCACCCCAGGAAAGTGGCTGCACTCCCTGAACACCCTCCCTTAGCACCACCAAAGCAAACCTGGCTCTCTGTGAGATGCCCCAGCCAGGTCAGGGCTGATAGCACTGCCAGAGCCCAAGAAAACCAGTCCAGCACTGGGRCAGAGAGCTGGGAAGTCTCTCCATGCTCTGTGCTCCAATAACCCCACTGGAGGTGAAGGATCCCACAGAGCTCATCCCTGCCCTGATCCCAGGCAGCCTCTGCTCCCACAGCAGGTGCCTCCTGCACACGAGGGGGACAGAGCCAACCCAACCCCTTGCCCAGGCCACAGCTCCACTTGCTCAGGGAGYTCTGTGCTGGCAGTGCCCAGCTCTGAGCGGGTAAAACCCAAAAAGTGCCAGCAGAGCTTTTCTGGAGCAGCCTCTGATGGCAGCAGGCAGGAGGATGGGTCTGTCACAAACTCGGGAAGCGCTGCTGCCTCACCCCTGGAGTGCTCTACCCACGGCTCCTCCTCTTCCCCAGCCTCTCTGGATGCAGAAYTCCAGAGCTCCCAGTCCCTTTGTTACCTGTACCGAGTGGAACAGGCTGGGCCAGCAGCAGGGAGGGAGAGGGAGAGGACACTGCCCCTCCACGACAGCTCCTGTCCCTCTCCCTCATGCTCCTTCCTCTCTCTGCTGAGAAGGGAACTAATTTATCCTGGGAGGGAGCACAGCATCCCCTGGCTCCCCCTCCAAGCACCGGGCAGAGCCGGGCAGGGAGCCTGGGCTCTTCTCAGGACAGTGCCAGCTCTGAGATGTGCAGCTCCTTCAGCAACCAGGWCCRTCTGTGGGACCAACCTCAGGAGCTSCCAGCCAGGAGGATGTGCCAGGTGCCTCCAAGGACAGGGCACAACGAGAGGATTCAGCACAGCCCTGTGATCCATGGCCAGCTCACAGGTGCTCAGAGAGGCCCACTGTGCATCCTCCCAGCACAGGAATGGTGGCTGGAGTGACTGGATGGCGAGAGATGCCCTGTGCCACCCTCCCCTGGATCTCTCCTTCAAGCACCCAGCGTCTTCTATCAACAGCAACTTCCCTTTTGTGGAGCTGGGACAGTCCCTGTGTGCCACAGACAGGAACAGGAGCTGTGGCTCCATCTCATGGCATGCACCTGGTGTGGGAGGAGAGAGCAGAGGCTGCTGGAAATGCCCCTCCAAAGCCATGACAGCAGGAATCCATACCAGATGTGATGCTACAGCACCCACATGGCCAGTCAGGGCAGCTCCAATGCCTGCCCCGTGCTCCTGGTGACTCCTGCCATCCCCACAGCGATTCCTGTTATCCCCACGTTGATTCCTGTTATCCCTCAGTGATTCCTGCCATCCCCACAGTGATTCCTGCCATCCCCACAGTGATTCCTGCCATCCCCACAGTGATTCCTGCCATCCCCACAGTGATTCCCAATATCCCCATAGTGATTCCCAATATCCCCACAGTGATTCCCAATATTCCCACAGCAATTCCCAATATCCCCACAGTGATTCCCAATATCCCCACAGCGATTCCTGCCATCCCCACAGCAATTCCCAATATCCCCACAGCGATTCCTGCCATCCTCATGGCAATTCCTGCCGTCCCCACAGCTCTCTGTGCTGGATGGTGAAAGGAGCCCTTGCTGCTCCATCCGGTGCCCAGAGCACTTTTTGGAGACGGTCCCTCCCACGGCAGGAGTCATGACCGGGCTTGCAGGCAAAGGCAGGGCCAGGGAACCCCGCCTGTGTGGGCAGGGGCAGAGGGGACGCAGATCCTGGCTGGCACATGCCACTTTGTGCTGTCACCAATGCCAATCTGGACACGGGGTCATGGCCAACGCTCCTCCAGCTCAAGCAAGAAAACACCAATTTGCTTTACAGAAGAAAGTTACCTGYTAGGCTGCTGTTGTTCTTTAGGGAAAGGGTTAAATTAGGTAATCTGGAGGGAGAGAAAGTGAAGAAGAGAAGTAGAGGAAGTTGTGTCTGACTGCCTTTGTCCCACCTCGGCCTGCACAGGACATCCGTGGCTGCTCCTGGCTGCCAGGACCTCCCTGGTGCCCCCTCACCACAGCAGCTGGGGCTGGGCAAAGCAGGACAGGTCCCAAAGTGTCCCAAGAGCTGCACCCCAACACTCAGTGTGTGAGGAGAGATCCTSAGCCTTGTCCCGACTCCAGCCCCTACCAGGGCACCCAACATCCACATCTCCATCCCTTCCTGTGTTCCAGGTGTGGCAGCACCCCAAACTGCTGCTCCCGGGGTCAGAGCCAGGCTGGGCAGTGAGGGAAAGGCAAGAGCCCCAGGGACACGGTCTGGGTGACCCAAGCCAGCCTCGCAGTGTCACCAGCAGGGTGACATCTTGTCACCACCCTGATGATGGTCCAGCCAAACACCCCAAGGCTCAGCTGCACAGCCAGACCCCGCTGCCAGGGGCTGCCAAAACTGAGGGAGACTCCCAAGGAGGCCCTGGGGACCAGCAGGAGCYGGGAGGCAGCACAGGGTGAGTGAGAAAGGCTCTGCTCGGTGTGAGCCCTGGGGCACGACCTCGGCATTGCCCCTGCTCAGGCTACACCACAGCATCCTTGGTTTAATCCAGCTGAGTGACACTGAGAGCAGCTGGAGCACAAAGACACTCTGCTGCCAGCCCTGGTCCCTCCAGTGCTGCCCAAGAGTGCCGAGTCCCCCCTTGACAAAAATCCCGTGTGAGGCCAGCACACRGCACTTCAGCAGGCCGAAGCCAGGAGAGGGGCAGGACACACATGGACAAACACCYGGAGAGGGCTGTTCCTGCCCACGGGCCAGGGCTGCAGCTGGCAGCTCCAGCTCACAGCTGGCCCCAGGTCACCTCCAAAGCCACACGGTGCCCCCAGCATCCCTCCTCAAGCTGACACAATAATTCCTTTGGCTGTATTTTTCTCAAGAGTTCCACAAGCTCGCTGAACTCAGAAAGCACCCAGACTCTGCCAAGGTGTTGGGCAGGTACCTGGCTGTGCACYGAACTCCTCAGGGTGCTGGAGGCACAGCACCGGGGTCTCTGCACACCCAAACACCCAGGGAAAGGCGCCGAGTGGCAGCTCCCGGGCCAAACGCAGCGACAGCCCCGGCCTCCTCCCCTGGCACAGCCAGCGGGCTGCCAGCAGAGCCCAGAGCCTGGCACAGCTTGGGTTTCAAGCTGCCGGACCCCGCGGCTCCGCAGAGCCCGGCGGCGAGGCCACAAAATCCAGGTCTCCATCCAGCCCGGGAGGAAGAGGAGGAGGAGGAGGAGGAGGAGGAGGAGGAGGAGGAGGATCCCCGGGAGCAGGGCGCGGTGCCACGCTCCGCTCCCCCGGCTCTGCCCCGCCACTCGCCCGGCCCGGCGGGGTTCGGCGGCCCGCGGGGACCCCCGGCCGGGGCGGTGGGACCGGAGAGGGGTGCACGGAAAGTTGGGAGGCCGGGAAGCGGGGCCGGCTGGGAGGCAGCGCAGGCCAATGGGAAGCGCAGAGCATGATGTCACCGCGCTCATCACAGCATGGCTCTGGCTAACAAAGAGAACAATGAGGCTGCCCAGTTCCCCGCTTCCCCCCTGGAAAAAAAGCCCCCCGACCCCCGGYTCGCAGCCCCCCGGGCAGGAAGGGGTGGCAGCCGCAGGGCGAGGGCAGGGATGGGGTGCCAGACCCCACAAGGGCAAAACAGCCCGGAGGTCACGCTCCCTGCCAGGGGATTCCTGCCGGGATCCCTGCGGGCAGCAGCKCCTTTCCTTTTTTCCTTAAATCCTCCTCCCTGGGGTCTTTTATTCATGATTTTTTAAGGCGAAAGTTKGGTTTATTGGGTATGTCCTGGAGACAAAGCCCACTCCAGGCACACCCAACCCGGCGAGGGCTGGGGCGTCCTTTTGTGACAGCTGGGTGTGAGGGCTCCTCGGCCGCCGGCGGAGCTCCGGCCACCTACAAACGAGCGGGTTAATGACCATTTATATCGGATTTATCGGCAAGATTTGTAAACGAAGTCTGAGATAAGGGGCACCGTTTACACACCGGGTCTGAGATACGGAGCCGCAGGGGAGGGGGCTGAGGCATAACTACAATGAAACCAAAGCTCTCGCCTCGCTCCGTGTCCTGGCAGCTCCCACGGACTCCCGTGGCTCCCGGGAACTTTCCGTGGGCGGGCGGGGTTATCCCACCCGGGCCGATGGAGTTCAATCGCGATTTCCAGGCGGCTCGGCGGATCCGGCGCTGAGCGCAGCTCCCGGGACCCGCGGCCGACTTTCGGGGCCTCGGGAGCTGTCGCCGTTAAGTTTCCGCCTCCGCACGGAGACAAAGCCCAGAAACCGGCCCAAATCGCGCGGGGCCAGCCCGAGATAGGAGGGGGGTCCCCGTGTCCCGCCGCGTCCCCACGCCGCGTTACCTTGCCGGCCCACGATCTCGGCGACGTGCTCGGAGCTGGGCACGGGCACGCACTCAGTCATGTTCACGCTCTTCTTCCTGCTCGCCGGCGGCTCGGGCAGCAGAGCGGGCGGCCCCAGCGGCGGGGCCAGGCT